TCTGATTCTAAATCTAAACATAAGAAAAAGAAAGCTTTTTGTTTGGACAAGGCCGTGCATAGAATGAGAAGAAAAATCTATAGATTACAAAATGAGATCTATAGGAAAATGATCAAATTCTTAACAGACGAATTTGATATTATCATGATCCCATTATTTGAAACATCAAACATGATTAACAGAAAGACCAGAAAGATAAACAAGAAAACGGTGAAAAGAATGTTAGGATGGTCTCATTACAAGTTTAAACAAAGATTGATCTCAAAATTCGAGGAAAAAAGTAACAAAGTAATCTTTCAAAACAAAGCTTACACTTCAAAAACATGCAGTTGGTGTGGTAATATGCAAAATATCAGTAGGTCAAAAATATACCAATGCAAAAATTGTAACATTGAGATTGACAGAGATATAAACGGCGCCTGAGGGATACTCCTTCGGGCTTTGCTTGATGGAGCCATGATCTTGTCATAAGACATCTTCATGCAGGAAATAGTAACTTTACTTAGTATTACTTAGTATTGATTACTATTGATGTATTACAATCTGTCTGCATTAACCTCTCTTAATAAGCTTTTAGTACTGCAATAACTAGTATTGAATTCGATTCCTTTCTATTTGAAGATTTACTATCAAAATAATAGATCTTAAAATAATGCAAATGAATTAGAAACAATTGATTTAATTTTAAATTCAAATGATGACAAGCGCCAATAGCATTTTTTTATATAATAATACCGCATTACAACGCACATTGTTAATTTAATTAATCAGAATTTGTTATCTCTCTTAATACTGCAATAACTAATGTATTATAGAAAGTAATGAGCCTAGTATTATCTGAATTACGCCCGAGTAGAGGTGCAATCCATAAACTAGTAGTTAATATAAATAAACTGTAAGTTTATTGTAAAACTGTTAGTTTTAATAGCTTATTTATACTGTCAGTCACAGTTCACATCTCTACGCCCGAGTTAGTTTGGAACGGTATTGTTACGTAAAAATGCTATCGGCGCTTGTCATCATTTGAATGTAAAATTAAATCAATTGTCCCTAATTCATTTGCATTATTCTAAAATCTATTTATTTTGATATAAAATTTCAAAGATTCAAAGAAAAAGAAATCAAATTATAATGAATTTTGATAATTTTACTCCAATTGAAGAAACAAACCTAATATCCAATATTGAAAACAGTAATGAAATTACTGGAATTACTGTTTTCATTCCAAGTGGTTTTTCACCAGTTCTAGTACGAAATAATGAGACTGTAAATTCACAAAATATGATAAAGGAAATACCTAGGCTAAATATAAAAATCCTGGTATTGGTTTTAAATACGGGAATAGATATATCATTAAACGAAAAAGCCACAAAAAAAGCTCCAAATTGTTTTATGTTGTTCAGAAAAGATATGTGTCATATTGTTAAAGCATATTACCAACATTTAAGCAATCATGAAGTATCAATTCTTATTGCAAAATTGTGGAAACATGTAAATGATGAAATTAAAGATGAGTATAAAAAGCGAGCTCAAGAAATCCAAAAAGTATATCAAAAATGGAATGCAGATTATAGCGTTAAGTATACATATAAAAGAAAATTAACTGAAGATAAGGGGCGTCATAAAAGGAATAAGCATACAAATAAGTATATTGATAATCAAATTTCAGAGCCACGTGATCAAATAGGATTTGGTTCCAACTCTAAAGAAAATAATGATGAATTGCTAAACAAGCTGAAAAAAATTCTTGACCTTTCATTAGATAACACTATTATATCAAAAAAAACAAATGAAAAAAATAATGTTAACAAAACTTATTCTGAAGAGTCAAGTGTCAGAAATAATAACCAAAAAACTTATTCCGAAGAGTTAAGTACAAATGACCCAAAAACTTATTCTGAAGAAAACAAAGAAGTATCATTTGATTATCCACAAGAATTTGATCTCAGTTTGCAATCAGGATACAATCTTTTTGGAAATCAATTTCCATTTACAAACTTTGGCTACGAGACAGAAAATTTTGAGAATCCTTATAATGATCCTTATGCATTAATAACAACAAATAAAGTAGAGGATTCTAATGAACTGATATCTTACGAAAAAAAGTTTACAGAAAAATTAGCTGATGAATCAGAGTTATTGGAAATGTTGACAACGGAAAGCAAAGAAAGTCCCCTTAATAGTGAGCAGTCTTCAGGAAAGTTGGCAAATTTAGATATTGAATCATTAATGAGCATTATAACAAAAAATAGGGCTGGCCAGATATAAAATTTTAATCATTACTATTTTAACTAAAATTATCGATTTCGTTCTGTTGGGCTGTTGGGAAGGAAATAATATGTCACATCTATTGATAAGTTGCAAATTAGTGTCACACCCGGTGCCTCATGTGACGTTTTGAAAACTGTCATAACCTCTGAGATATTATGTCTTGATTATTAAAATATCTAATCACTTTGCTTAAGTCAATTCTTATTTTTATGTTTATTTGGTCTATTAATAAAAAGTCATAATTTTCATATTTAATCTTACATCTTGCACAGTACTACATTATTATTCCTACGTGTGTGTACAGTACTACATTATTATTCCAACGTATGTGTTGCACAGTCAATATTATATACTCTCTAAATACATAAAAAATTTTTGGCTTTTAATTATTAACGCAAAAATGATTCTCAAAATCCGAATTACTATTTGATTATTACATGACATATACGTCATCAAACCCATCTACCCACCTTAAAACCCATCTCTTTTTTACTGTTAAAGTTTCTTTTTGCCGTTGAAATTCACTTCTTATAACCATATTTATAGTCAAACACGTTAAATATCTATCATAACTACGTCATAAATTTAGGGTGTGGAAGAAGTCGCCCTAATATGTAATAGTTATATCCTGGGCAGTTGGGTATAAGCGGGGCTGAAAGTCCCGCTTATCACATAGTGCCCAGGGTATAACTGATTTATGCCCTACGATCTTGATATAGTGACCAGGGTATAATATAATTTAAATGCATATACTGTCTATATTAAAGTATAGTTCAAACGATTGTTCGCCCACCGATTTTATTGGTTAATACCCAATTACTTTGAATTTTTTAAAATCTGCCAGAAAATGTAGAATCTAAAACTGATTAATTGACTTATTTGAATAAAGGTTAAAAGCATCATTGAATTCTTTTTCGGCTGTATTAGGTAAATATTTGTAAAAGAAATTCATTAAAAAGTTGATATTCTTTTTTGGTTTTGCAGGATTTAGTGATTCAACTAAGCACAAGCGTAAGAAATAGTCTTGTGGTTTTTGCTCAATGTTTGTAAAAGTGTCGATTAAAACCTTTCCAATTTCATCCAATCGACTTTCAAAGAGGTGGAATATGTCGAGAATAATACTATAATTTAATTGAAACCCCAGATCAATTAATTCAATAAGTCGTGCCTTAACAGTTTTAACGTCGGGTTTAGTCCATCCAGGAGATTGTACAGGAGGAAAAAGAATTAAAAGCGCTCCTTGCATTACGAGATCATTGACGTCCTGGCAAATTTCAAAGTAACCGATTTTTTTCCATAAAAGTACTAGGTCTTTACGAATCAAAATTGCGCGCGCAATAACATTAAGTTGCTTATTATTTTCATGTCCATCTTTTGGTGGATATTCTTCCGGCGAATTAACATGCACTTCATTAGATTTTCTTGGTGGAAATGGTATAAATTTCATTCGTAATCTTAGATCCTTAATCTCTTCTATATTTTTTTCTAAAACAATCGGCGCATAATTAATATTTTGAGGACCTCCAGATAGAAAATGAAAAAGCTCCATATCATTTCCTTTCAAGCAGCATAAATTCTTAAACAGGTTTGAGGCCTCAGTTAATAAAAATATATAAACGGAAATCGGCAAATTACTAGCCCAGGGCTTCATTCTTTGCTGCAAAGCCCTAATCCTATCTATATCTGTTTGTCCTACACTATGAACAATCTTTAATTCAATAAGTTTTTGATCGTAGTTCCCATAGTGAATAAGAAGACGTTGTGCAAAATATCTCGAAAGAATTCCACCTTTAGCAATAATGGCACGAGCAACATCAACAGAAATAAATGATGGACCTAATCTAATAGCATGAAAAAGACAGTGTACACTTCCAAATTGAAAAATAATCCATTCTGCTTTTGCTTGAGAATCTTTACATATTAAAGACCATTTTTGCAACATACTGATAAATTCATAGGGTTTTTAACAAACTTAAAGATATTTATCTTTACTTCATTAGGTATTTCATATTGAAAGTAATTATTTTTTTGAGTTTTTGTATTCATCTAATAATAAAAGAATTTGCAGAATTTTGTCCCAAAAGTTAAAACCGGTTATTTGCCAAGATTAAATAATTTTTTAAAAACAAGTCACAAATTGTTTGTTTGTTATTACGTAATTTAATTACTAATACAAATGAAAGGGAACCAATTTATTACTTTATTTGGCTAACAATAATAATATGATTTTTACATAATCATGGATACAATGTTTTTCTTAAGGAAAACAACAAATTTGATATTTTACAAACAGGTCTTGTAAACCCTGAATTATATTTATTAGCAAAAAAAATAGGGATATGTAAATGAGTTGAGACGAAAAATTATTATGGAATCCATGTAAATTTCCTGTAAAGTATAGGAGAGTTAAGTATTCGAGAGTTGGATAACTAAGTAATTTTTCGTATTCAGTAGTAAACGTAGTAAGCACAGATTCCTGAGAATTTACCAAAAGCTCTTTTGACAAATTTGCATTATTGTTTGTTCCGGTTGAATTAAATAATGTAGAAGTAGGAATGACATTTGAATTACATACAGTTGGTTCAACTTCAATTTGATTCGAATTATTACGTTTCTTATTGCGATTTTTTTGTTTTTTAGCAGTTTGAGGTCGATATTTATAGTCAGGATGAAGTTGCATATGCTCAAGCTTCTTTTGATCGGCAAGTTTTTCCCATTGCAATTTTACTATTTCATCTTCATTTTTCCACCATTCAGAGATGATTTTAGAATTTTCATTATTTGTTAAATTTGGAGAGACTTTAGAATGGTGATAAGCTCTATATAGAATAAAAGAATTTGGTGGTCTACAAACTTTTTTTCTTTTAGACTTGATAGAATATGGAAAAGTTGGGACCTTAGAATCAGTCACCATAAAAACGTGCAAATAATTTCCTTCATTCATAATCGTTTGTTATAAGATATGTGAATAATATATCTAACGTAAATAATTATCCTTAAAAAATACTTAAATAAATGCCTCAAATCTTGATCTATCTATTTATTCTTTTATCGTTATCTATTTATTTATTCTTTTATTATTAAAATATTTTCATGAAAATTCTGTGAAATACTTTTCATTCGATTTTAAAAACAAATTTTTTAATTAGTTATCTAAATAAAAGCAAATCCAACGAATATCCGTTGTTTACTAACGTTTCACACTATTAGTAAGATAAAATCAAATTTCGTATTTACAAAATGAAAATTTTAAAACTCTTTGTTTACCTGATTGTACAACCTTATTACGATTAATTCTGGGCTCTAGTAACTAGTATGTACTACAAGATAAATTAATTCGTATATTGATTTGTTTATATGCAAAAAGATTATTCATTGTAAAATATTTTTGGGATGAATGAAGTATAAAATTATATAAATGAGCTGCAATATATAAAGATACTTAAATCCGGAGCAATGCGACGGGTCTTACGCTAGTAGCTTTTTTATATTTATTCTATTACAAAAAGTTAGAGATTAGAAATGAAGCTAAAGATTAATTTTGGCGGGTAATAAAAATCTTAAAGAGAAATAGGCAATCAGAAAGTGTAAATTTTGACTAAAAAAAATAATGGTCTAGGAACATTTGTTCTTTTAAACTTGTTAGAACATGGAAAAGTTCGAACTAAGAATTCAATTTAATTATACATCTTTTTTTTACTGGTTAAGCAAAAAAAGGAACAAAAGTTTTGTTATTAGAATAAGGCTAAACTTTATATAACGCCAACATTTCTTTTAAAAATAGTAACAATTGCCTGGGAATAAAACAGAATATAACCAAAAATTAAATGTGAATCAGTTGATTGGATGACAGAATGGCATATAAGCTGCTTCGCACCAGTGGCCATTCCTCCCGTTCATTCATCCCAAAAATATTGAACAATGAATAACCTTTGAATGCAAACATAAATATTTTGAGCGTACGACCAATAAATAACAAAAATGAATAGTTCCTAGGACCCAGAACTAATCTGTTTAAAATAAAGTTGTACAATCGAGTAAGCAGAGTTTATTGAGTTTTAAAAAGTAATTAAAATTTTCATTTTGTAAATAAAAAAATTCGATTTTATCTTACTAATTAAAAAGTTTAGTTCATTTACAAGTTAATCTATCGCTATGTTATTTTCATGAAATAATTTTATTAACGTTAAGCATAATTGTCCACGAAAATGGCAATAATGTTACACACTTATTTTGTCGGGTAATACAAACTCTAACAAGAAATAGCCAATCAGAGAGTGTAAATTTTGACTAAATAACTAGTGTCGGTATTTTTACATTATCATAAGATTCATACGTTATTTAAAACTTAACAAACTTATCTATAGATTTCTTGGATTGTTTAATTACAGAAGTAAAAAAATCAATTTTGGCTAAATTAATATCCATCTGTTTTAGATTTTCATGTGTATTCGAATAATAATTCGAGTAATAGTAAGGAATGTTATTAAAAGCTAAATTAATACCCGCAGTAGTGATTGGATATTCATGTTGAATATTTGGGTAACAGTAGGATGCGATGTTAAAAGTTGTTAAATTATTACTATTGATATTCGAATATATGTTGTAAGGCATGAATCCAAATTTCTTTTGTTTACACCTTGGGCGATATTTGTATCCTGGAAAAGTTTGACCGTGAACCTTTTTCGCGATCTTAGATAATGTACTATAAAATG